TTTGAGACTAGGCCTCACTATGTAGCCCAGGCTGGCCTTGAACTCTCAGCGATCCTCCTGCCTCAGCTTCTCAAGTGCTGGGATTACAAGCATGTGCCACCATGTCCATCAGGATACGGTCTTCAAAAAGACCCTAGGATACATTTACATATAGTATATACCAACTAGTCAGCACAGATATACAGCTACTTTCTCTTAGTTCAACAAGAAGATTTGTACTAATAGTGTTTAGACAAGACATCATGTCTTGTACTATAACTACTACAAATACAATACACAATGTATTACTTATTGAACCTGTCTTAACCGGTTTTGAAACTGTCTCATTGCTATTTCTTTCTCAATAAAATTAATATTAAAAAAGACCCTAAGATTAAATTGTTTTGAACCTCACCAGTAAGTACTAGCATGGACAATTCAATTTTACAATCTACTCCAAAGTTACCTGTGAATTAAAACTGTGAACGTAGAGACAGTCTTCTCAAGGAAGAGATATAATATGGACACTTAGCAAAAACAAAAACATAAAAGTTCCTCTGAATTCCAGTTTTACAAGCACTGGTACAGCCCCAGTTGTTTATTTACAACTGACTAATTTTCAAAAAAGAACAGCTTTTCCTACAAGCTTCTTACCTGCTATGATTGTTGTTGCTTGTCGCCTCACATTGTTTTTATCCATGTATTCACCATAATCTACTTTTCCTTCCACGAAAACTCGAGACCTGATGCAAATAACATTTGTTTTAGCCTGGAGATCCTAAAAGGCACTGCAAGAGTGAGTCAAGGGGGAGGTGGTAATGAATACGCGCCAAGGATACAATACATAATTACACATAATCTCACTTTTACTGCTGCTTTTCAAAGTTCAGATTTAACAGTATTGAAGTACAATGTAAAAACAGACTTGGATATGCACAGGTCAAATAGACAATGCTTTCACCCTTCCTCTAGTCTCCTTACGGAAGTTTGAAAGCAAAAAGTAACCTGCTGTGAAGATTGGAAAAGCAACGTCCACAGTCACATCCTTTAACTCTCCGGGATGATTTCCACCTTTAACCTTTGACTAGGGACTCTCTAACAGGTACACTGATTTTAATTTACTTATCAATTCCTTTCTATGTGAGGCTTATGTTATTCTCAAGAGATTGCGATTATTAAAATTCAAACTCAAGGTTTTTCAACTTAGTGTATCAGAGTTCACGACTACTGCTACCCCCTATACAAGGCTGAACTAGGAAGTGGTCATAACTACAATGAAGGGTAGAAAGTGCACCCCTGGCACCAGGTTTTGACATCCACCACTACTACAAAAATACAGAAAGGAGACACTAGTGAAATGATGGGGCACCAAGACAGACAGACATATTTACCAACCAGCAGGCCAAACTACACATTGACATATTCCTTTATTCTATATGTATTCGCACATGTGTATATAAAATAATTCCTACTTATATACCTTAAGGGCAATAATGATATATACAAAGAAAATGTATGTAACTACTTAAAAAAATATAAATTTTAATTACTGCTGAAATTATTTTTCATGATTTTAGCAGTTTTGGTTTTGGGGCTTTTTAGGTTTTTTCTGAGACAGGGACTCCCTATGTAGTACAGACTAGCCTTGAACTTGCTTATGTAACCTAGACAGCCCTGAATTCATGGCAATCCTCCTGTCTCAGCCTCCTTAGTGCTGGGATTATAGGTGTGCACCACCACACCTGCCTCATGAAATTTTTATTTCTACAAAACAAGTACATTTCAGGCCGGGGAGATGGCTCAGTGGAATAAGCGCTTCCCTGGCAAGCCCAAAGACCTGAGTTCAATCCCCGGTTCAAAAAAAAAAAAAAAAAAGAATGAGAAAAATAAAAAAACAAGTACATTTCTAAGCATGTTAGTACAACTGTTAAATACATCCTTCCATCTTTCTGGAAGTATAGATATTTTTCACATAAACAGTCAAGCCAAGTATTGCAGTGGGGAACTATTACACCTACAGAAAACCCCCAAATACAGTGGCTGTAAGACCACCACCGTAATATCTCAGTCTACCACTGTTCAGACAAGCCTGACCTTCCAGAGTGCTATACGGAGGCCAAGAGGTAAAGTGCCACCTCCAGGGTCCCTGCTCATGGAAGCATGGCACCACCTAAAAGCACATTCTGCTGCTGCTTCAAGAGCAGGTGCCAGGAGGTCAGGCGAAAGACTGCCTTGTCTTGTCTCACCTACTTCAGTTTATGTGTCTACCTTGTTCGCCCTAAACTGGAAGTTCTCAGAAGGCTAAAACCATGTCTTGTACACTTTTGAAGTAGTCACACTCACACTCACATTCTCTCTCACTCACACACACACACTCCGAAAATACTATTAAGGAATTCGTAAATACCACTTATGTACGCTCTGAGGGATAAATTAGTTCCTTGTCAGGAGGTCACTTGTTATCAGCTCTTTAAACTACCCAATCCAAAAGATCATTCCTTCTCATACTTACCCCTTCTTCACATACTGATATGCTACATCTCTAAGACCTGGCCGAAACACTGATATTCGGTGCCATGTTGTCTTTTGACTGACATCACCTAAATCACAAAAATAGAAAACATGGTTACCTAGACAAAAGGGGACTGGGATTAAAGGAAAAAAAATAAATAAAAGAATTAAGATGTTTTGTGTAGATGTATCAACTCCCCACAATGAATGTAATCATTATGTACTGCAGATATGTACTTTAAAAAAAGAAAAGAAACAAATACAAATGCTCCAAACACCAAAAGACAACATGCTTAGAAAAAAAAAAAACACACAAGGGGTGCAGGGTATAAGGGAGGGCAATGAGGGGATGAATGTGATCAAAATGTTACATGTATGTCTATATGAAAACACCACACTGAAATTCAGGGTTTTGTAAAAATAATATACACTAATGAACACATTTAAAAAGAAACCATCACAATTTCTAAATAGAACAGAATTAGAAAAGACAGACCTTGTCTAAAAGTAGTCTATCTTGAGTTAGATAACTGGCAATACTGACTGCTGGTAAGCTTAAAACCCATCTTTCATACTCACCAATCTGATACGTTTCATTGTCCCCTGACTTCCACATCTCATTTGTTGCTAGAGAAAATATGGTGACTGGATTTTTTCCTTCCACCTGTCTCATGACAGGGTCCTGACCCACTCGCCCAAGCAACTGCACACGATTCAGTGCTGAAATGGGACAAAGTAACACTGAGAATCTGTGAGGGACTGAATGTTTATTTCCCCCCAAATTCCCATCTTGAAGCCCTAAGCCCAATAGGACCATATGTGCAAGTGGACCTTCCTGGGTAGCTACATGATGGGAGTAGTATCTTTATAAAGAGGAAGAGACCACAGTTCGTCTTCTCTCTGCCATGAAAAGAACTCAGTAGAAAGGTAACCATTTGCAAGCCAGGAGATCATCAGCAAGAGCCCAACCAGACCGGCATCCTGACCTTGGACTTCCTGCCTCCAGAACATCCAAGGAGGCAGGAAGAGATGCCTAGTGTTGAAGCCTTTGCGGTCTGTGGTGATTTGTTATAGCAAGGAGAGAACACTATTGAAGAAATCCACACATCTGACAGAGAAATACCCAGAAAAGGAGCAACTATATATACTAAACCATTTTCCATCTTCTGCATTTAGCAAACTCAAGTTCTAGAAGATTGGCAAATAAAGGGGCAAACAAAGGTTGAGGGAGGAGTTGGCAAGAAAGAAGTCCAGCAAGGTGGTACATGCCTATAGTCCTAGCACTGGAAGGCTGAAGCAGGAGGGTTGCTATGAGTTTAAAGCCAGTTTGAATGATAGGGTAAGACTGTGACTCAAAAAGAAGGGAAAGACAGACAGACAGACAGACAGACAGACAGACAGAGACAGACAGACCAGAGAAATCAGCCCTATAAAACAAACTTAAAAAAAAAAAAAAAATGACAGGGCTCACTGTGTAGTTCAGACTGGCCTTGAACTTACTATGTAGTCCAGGATGGCCTTGAACTCCCAGCAAGCCTCTTGCCTCAAACTCCTAAGTGCTAGGACTAGGCATGTACCACCACACCTAGCTTTTAAATTCTTTAAAATATCTTTTTTAAAAAACTTGAAGCTAAAAAAAAATCTGAGATCTAAAACTACTTTCTCAGAAGAGAATGTTTTTGTGAAACTCTTTTTTACAATCTCTCTAGTAAACTAGAGGAGATTAGGGGATTCAGATAACCAAATATGATTCAAGGACATTCCTCCAGCAGGACAATGAGGAAAAGACTAAGATTAGAGTATCTGGCTGGCAGGGAGAAAGAATCATTTATAACAGGTCACCACAGCTTGATGGGCATCACCAAGATCTAAGGACAAGCATGAGCCAAAGATGTGATACATCACCTGGTGAACTATCTCCTCCACAACACTTTCAGAACACAATAAACCCAGAAACTGGCTACTTACATCTTTCAAGAACTAAACTGCTGGCCACTTCAGACTCATGTCTTACAAATTGACGAAGCACCTGAAGGAGAATAAGTAAGGGACAAGGTTTTAATTTTTTAGGAAAGGCAAATGCAAACAGAAGGCCTGATTACACCATTCACCCCTCTGTCAGTAGTTCCTCTGAAATCCAGAAGAGAATGGCTTTAGAAGATTTCCCAGTGCTTTCCCAATGTTCAGAGAAACAAGGACCAACCAAACTTTCAGAGCAGCTGACTACAAAAACTGAAGGCACAAAGAAAGTACAGTGCATGCCCAAGTTACAGTCTTTTCCTGCTTCTTTGTGGTAATACTCCTGATTATGGCACTTCTGTGTTTGTACATGAAGGTAAAGCCAAAATAGCACAACTTCCACAATACAGAGCACAACAATGATTGTAAATCCAACCTGCCCTAAGAGTTGCTGTCAGGTATTAAAAATCAAAGCCAGCATTCTAAGATACTACGAATGTGATTAGCCTAAAATGCCCAATTAAAAATGGCCCAAAAGACAGTAAGTAGCATCTACTTCACAAGACTATTGCAAAAATTAAAGGGCTTCTACACTAAGCTTAGCCCAAAGTTCTATAAATATCTAATGAGAAATTCATGTTTTCAATGGCTCAAAGAGAAATAGTATTATGACTCTGTTAAGTGCAAAGAGATGGCATCCAAGTCACACAATCACTGAAACAGGACAGTCACTGCCATGTAAGAACAGCATTTAATGTGTATGTCAGCTAGCATTAATAACAGCTATTTTACCTCATATCATTGAACCTAAAATCAAATGTATAATGAAAAGTTATCCCCCACTTTAGAGCTGAAGAAACTGAAGCTCAGACAAAGTAAAGACTGGAGGTCAGGGCTGTCTGACATGGCAGCTGCTGCTGTTCCCATTATCCTCTGCTGCTTCCTAAAAAGACATTCTGGGCAAGGGCTAGCACAGAGGTCAGAGTACACATCATGGGAGTCCATGATGAGAGCTAGACATTCTCTCAGAGAAACAGTTCTCAAATGGCAGTACTGTTAACATGAGCAGAAAATCCATCAAAATTGCCAGACATACTGGTGCATGCCTATACCCTCAGCACCGTAGGGGTCAAGGCAAGAGGATCATTACAAGTTCAAGGCCAGCCTGGGCTACAGAGCAAGTTCAAAACCAGCTTGAACTACACAGCAAGGCCCTGTGCCTCCCACACCCCCAAAAATAAACCTACCAAATAAACACTTATTCCTATCATTTGCTTTAGAATAAAGGGCATACTAGAAATAAAGCTTTAGGGGGCCCGCCAGATAGGTCAGCAGATTAAAATGCCTGCTTAGGCAAACACAGGGGCTGGGGGTTCAATCCCCAACCTGTCCTGCAGGCCTCAGCCCCGCCCCTGGGGATACACTGGTCCAGTGACGGAGACTGGGCGTGGTTGTGCCCCCTGTAATCCTAGCACTTGGGAGGCTGAAAAATAGGAAGGATCACTAAAGTCCTGTGTAGTGAGACCCTGTACTAATTACATTAAAAAAAAAAAAAAAAGCTTTAACTTACAGAATCCAACTGCTAATTAGTGTCTATGCAGTGTTTATAGAAACACTGATTTAAGTGGAGTCAAAGTAGTCTGAAAGAGTAACAATGTGTCTCATGTTAGGCACACACAAAAATCAAAACACTAGAGTGGCTGAAAGGATTGTTTAACTTGGATGACTTTCCTGTTTTTGTTTTGTTTTTTGTTACCTAGGATCAAACTCTGGACCTTGCACTTACCAGAAAAGTGCTTATGCTGCTATCTTCCAGGCTTAACTTGGATGACTTTTAAAACTAAACTTTTAGATTCTCTATTTGGTTTTAAACGTATTGTATTATTGTACTATTATCAAGACAGTAGTAACTTTTCCACATTTCACATTTCATCACATTTTAAAAAGATGAAAAATAAATGTAGCTTAAGGAGGGAATCTAAGAACATAAATTTGACAAGTCAGATGCAAAGAGGAACCGAGTCTTCACTAGTCATAATAGGAGGCTAGGGAGTCATAAGGGGATGCTATAAAGAATTGACAGAACCTGGTAGCTACATGTAGTAAGGAAAAATGGCAACCTCAGCTGGCAAGGCCGGCCAGAGGCACAGTGATAAGGAGCCAGAATCAATTCACGGCGCAGAATTTGTGGTTCTGAGACCTGAACTCTTTCCTCAGCATAGCAAAGTAGGAAAGGGGTGCATTTAGTAACAGAGGTGGTAAAAGGTCAGAAAAGGAATCACACGGAACAATGAATCCCTGTTTGGGGTCTTTGTTTTATTTATGAAACAGGGAGAGCCTCACTTGTCCATAGCTCACTATGTAGCTCAGGTTGGCCTTGATTCACAGTGATCCTCCAGCCTCAGCCTTCCAAGTGCTGGGATTAGAGGCAGGCACCACCACACCCAATTCTGATTTAATCCAAGTAACACAGTACTTTGTTTTCGCGGTTTTTTTGTTTTGTTTTGGTTTGGGTTTTTTTGTATTTTAGAGAAAGGTCTACAGAGTGTTCAGGGTCTCACTACTAGATCAGGACTAGTAGTGAGTGATCCACCTGTTTAAGCCTCCCAAGAGCTGGAATTACAGGCACACGCCAGCACACCCAGTCTCCAAGTAACATAGTGTTGTAAAAACTAATGATTCTTATTATACAGACAAATAAATTTGAAAATTTAAACACCAAACCTTTTTTTTTTTTTTTTTTTTTTGCGGAACCAGGGATTGAACTTAGACCCTTGGGCTTGCCAGGGAAGCACTTATTCTACTGAGCCATCTCCCCAGCCCCATCCAACATTTCTGACGTTAACAAAATCCACTCCAAGCCCTCCCTATCAAAGGAGTACCCTCAGAGTGGTGAATAGGCTAAAAGTCCTTGCAGTCACAGCCTAAAGAAATCTGATCCCTACACTGACAACACAGCCCAGTATCTATGGCAAGGTGACTACCTGTAACACAGGTCTTCGAAAAAGCATGGCTCCTGTTTTCTTTTTTTACAATCTTTCGGTTCTTCCTGTAGAAACAAACAAACAAACAAAAAAAAAAAAAAAGCAAGAAAGAAAAGTTAAATAATAGATCTTACACCAAGAGCAAAAGTTCCTTAGTCCTAAAAATGTAAGTGTATCACTTGGACAAATTTTTGCCCATCTAAATTGGATGCCCTCTCTCCCCAGACACCTCAGATCTCTTCCTGATGCCACTTCCTCCAATAAAAACAAAAACAAAAACCCAACCCTGATCCTGAGCTAACCTTACTTGCCATTGTCATATTTTACTGAGATGCAAGCTTCCGTAAGGGCGGTACTACGTCCGATTCACTGCTATTCAAACCGAATCACATTTTCCGATACGGTCAACACTGAACCTAACCACTGTATCTGATTCGGTTCTAGTCCAACTCGGTTTGTGTCCTGAATCGTGGAAAGCGTCAAATTCATGAACCAAGGTACCCTTCTTAGTCTAAACTTTCAAAACAGTTCCTAACACGTGGTAAGGGCTCAGTAACTACTAACATGATTAAAGGGCTTACATCTGAAATGTGCGATTGCAGAAAAAAAGAAAGAAAAAGAAAAAGCCTCACTCCCGACCAAGCAGCGCAGCGACCCCGGCTCCCCTACCTCCCCGACCGGACCGGCAGGCGCCTTTCTCAAAAGTGGCGCTCCCACTCGATGCCGTAGGAGAGCCGGAGGTCAGCCCAAAATCCTCCGCACGAGTGGGAAGAGAAAGGCCAGGCGCCCTCACGGCCCCGTCTCCCGACCGACGCACGCAGAGCCAACACACCGCTCGCGCAGCTCCCACTTCCCTCCTTCGCCTGACGCGCCAATCCGTACCACCTCCAGTCAGGAGACCACTTCCGGCGCACAGAATACGTAAGGCTCGCGACCGGAAGGAGAAAGCGGTCCAGTAGTGTGCGCCACAGAAATGCTGCCGGCGCGAAGGGAGGGAAACAAGTCCCCTTAGTATGAGAGTTCCGGAAGCTTCTGTCCAAGAGGAAGTGGATCGATCAACGCCACCAAGAGGTGATTTCCTCAGAGGTCGGATTCCGTTGAGATGAAATTATCTGAGGGCATCAGCCGGCACCAAGGTAGGAAAAGGTGGACGAAAAATACAGAATACCTTCACCCTCTGGAGGAAGAAACCCAGCCCAGTCCTGCCAAAGCCCTAAGAGAAGCAGGAAAACCAAGAAGCAGAGGAAGAGCTGAAGGCGCAGGATTGGGGGTGGGGGGGATTGGCAGTGAAGATAAATTAATTTTAATGTAGTATTTCTGAAATTCAAAATTAAGGTAATTAATCTGTGAAGCACAAAATATTTAAAATTTACTAAATACAGATCCGAGCCACGTTGGAACCCGAGGCACAAGAAGGCTGTGTGTCCCATTTATACATTTTTCTCATCTTAATTTAGCTTTTCCCAAAGCATAAAAGTAGTTGAAATATTGAAAAAAAAATTAAAGTAGGTATATCAAAACATTGCTTAAAGTTTAAATCAAAACTGGAACTGTGTTTAATTTTACTTTCCTGCCCTTAATTAAGAAAGTAAACTAATCATTGTTTTCAGAATCTGCTTTTTGCATACCTCCTTTCAATTGAGAGACTTCCCGTGCCTGACACTTTTTCTTAACCTAGTGACAATCTTAAGTACAGTAATTATAATCAACTTCAGTTTACTAATCTTTATTTTTAATTGGAAATGTTTTATTACAGTAAAACACATTGCCATTAATGCCCCATGAAATACTCCCCATTACTTTGAACACTTACGGAATCATTCTTGTCCTTTATAAAAAAGTTCACTGCAGTAAAAGATGTATTGTCATAAGTCCCCCTTAAAATATTCCCATTCCTTCTAAAATATGTAATCATCGTTCTGGTCACTTTCTAAAGCAACTCTAGAAGCAATGCTTTTTTTTTTTTTTTTTTTTTGGCAGAACCAGGGATTGAACTCAGATCCTTGCGTTTGCCAGTCAAGCACTTATCCTACTGAGCCATCTCTCCAGCCCCTACTGAGCCATCTCCCCGGCCCCAGCAATGCTCTTTTTTAAAATTATTTATTGTTTGGTACAAGGTTTTCTTACGCAGCTCGGACTTGTAGTGACCCTCCTGTCTCAGCCTCCCCAGCACAGGGATTAGAGGCGTGTGCCACCACACCCGGTTCCAGAGCAGCACTGCCCGGGATCAGACCCGGGTCCATGCACTTGCTAAGCTGACACTTAGACCACTGAGCTATCTCCCCAGCCCTGGAAGCAAATCTTTCTAAATCAGTTCTTATTTGTGTGTTTTTAAAGCATTTACAGTGGATGTTTATGATATATGATGATCTCATTCTTCTAGCGAATTGGTGCATATAGGTTTGCAGCTTAATCATTTTGACTTTCCCTTCCCCTCCTACACTTTTGTTTTTCCAAATCTTGTCTTTAAAGTTCTGATTGTTTTGTTTATACCAGACTTTTTCACTAAATATTTTTTTTTAATAGCACATTGGTACTTTTTCTTTTTTTTATCTTGATTGCTGAACTTTTTGGTGCTTGTTAAATTTTGCTTTATTTATATAATCATCCATGTGAGAAAGATGATGTCTGGAGCCCCACAGATCATGGAATCTGGGTCACCAAGGGATTCCATCCTTCTCCTGGTCCCCTCCTCACCAACAACTGAGCCTGTAGAGATGAAAAGAATGGGAGCCGGGGAGATGGCTCAGTGGAATAAGCACTTCTGAGCGCAAGGGCCTGAGTTCAAGCCCCAGTTCCGCAAGAGGCAGGGGCAGGGGCAGGGGCAGGAGCAGATGAAAGGAATGCCGTGTATGTCTGCTAACAAGCACATGGCTTCCTCTGGTCCAATCTGGTCTTTTAAGGAGAAAATCTGAACTACTGACTGATTACTGAAGGTCTGGCTTGCTCACTGGAATATTTTTAAATGTTTCTCTTCATTCACTTACATTTTCACACAGTTGAGTTCCTGACGGCAGTTATACTGCCATCCAGACTTGCGTAGGCATTAATAGTACCATTCCTGCCATTTCCTACCATTTTTGCTTTTAATATTTTTGCAGCCTCATAGCTGTTAGAAAAATAGAGTAATTCTATATAAAGTGATTACTAGAATGCATTTTAAGGTGGTTCAAAAGCCAGTCTAGGGCCTGATGCGATAGCTCAGTGGACTAAAGCGCCTGCTTAGGCAAGCGTAGGGACCACAGTTCAATCCCAGTCACTGCGTGCCACACCAGGCCCACCCCCATGGCGAAAGTCCAGGCATAATGGCACACACCTGTAATCCCAGTGCTGGAGAGGCTGAAAACAGGAGGATCACCATGAGTCCAAGCTGTATAGTGAGACTTGTAACAACCAAATACATTTTTTAAAGAAGCCAGTCTAGCAAACATCAGTGTGACAGTTTATGTAATACAGAGTGGGAATTATACTTCTAGAGAAAAGAGGTCTTCATTGTTCAGGGTGGAAGGTTGACATTTATCCTTCAGTATTTTTATTTCTAAAGCTTCAGACAAATGGCTGTTCTAAATTGGTCCATGTGTTAGAGCTTAGAGAAATACTGGTGTGCTCTCCTGGTCTGGCCTAAATCTCAAGATTATCTGTTAACATCTGAAGATGAGTGTTGTTAGCATGGAGCACTGCAGAAAAGGAGGATCATAGGCCAGTAATTATGTAGCACCAGGCCCATGCAGTGTGAAAATAAACTCTAAGGAATACGGTGGATCAGAAGCCATAGACCCTTCTAGTAATAGTAGTTGTCAATACTCAAGAAGATAAGCGTAGGAATTCTGGCTTACGTTGCATGCACTTAGCATATTTCTAAACCACAAATTGTGGTTGACTTTATACTGTTCTACAAGGGACATGGGGGAAGCAGAAGTGCGGGCATGTGGCAAGAGATAAACTACCCTGTTTTAAGTCTTGAATAAAAATGAATAAATAAAAATGGCAAGAGATTAAAGGGAGAACTTAATTGCATAGAAAGAATTGCCATTTCAGGGCCAGCAAGATAGCTCAGCAGACACCTACTTTGGCAAGTGCAGGGAGCAGGGTTCAATCCCTGGTCCCGCATGCCCCACCGGACCAGCCCCTGGGGCATGCTGAGCCCCAACCTAGTCTGGACATGGTGCCACATGCCTGTAATCCCAGTGCTGGAGAGGCTGAAAACAGGAGGATCACTTTGAGTCTGAACTGCATAGTGAGACCCTGTACCAAATACATAAATGGAAAAATAAATAAATAAGAATTGCCATCTCAAGGCGAAACAATGAGTGATGTACAGTTTCCTTTAATTTAAAAACATCGGCTTCTAAAACTGAAAAGAATCCAGCATCTCAAAAGCCATTAACAGGTTATCTTTATTGATTATACAAATTAAAATTATCAAATATTGTAGCTGTACGGCCAACATTATTTTATAACCCAACTTGGCAATTATTAGCTTTTGAGTTTGTGCAGTGAGGCCAAAGATATATTACTCCCCACCTATTAGATTCTCTTAGGAATCAATCTTAACAAAGGAAATAAAAGATCTGTATATTGAAAATTACAGTGCTTTCAAAAAGGAGATTGAGGACGATGTTAGAAAATGTAAAGAAAATCTACTGGGAGAGAAAGCAGGTAGAAATCTTGAGGACATATATGTAAGTAGAGAATTCATAAAATCCAACTGCACGGGAAATACTTCAAAGAATCAACAACTGAGATCTCATCTTGTGAAAAGGCTTTTGAACATCAAAGGAAATGACCAACAGAGTGAAAAGACAACCCACAGAGTAGGAAAACATTTTAGTCAATTGTCTCTCAAATGAACAACTTCTATCTACCAATTCTATCTTTTACAGATTTAATGTGTCTGTTTTAATGTTAGATCTTTGATCCATTTTGAATTTAGTTTAGTGCACAGTGAAAAATATGGATCCAATTTTAATCTTCAGCATGTACAGAGCCTGATTTTCCAGCACCATTTATTAAAGAGGCTATATTTTTTCCAATGAATGTGTTTGGCACCTTGGTCAAACATAAGATATCTGAGTATGTGTGGAATTGATTCTACATCCTGTAATCTGTTCCATGGATCTTCAGATCCATTTTTTTCAGTGCCACACTGTTTTATCACAGTAGCTTTATAATATAATTGCAAGTCAGGGAGAGTGATGCTCTCTGCCTCGCATTTATTTCCCTGAATTGCCTTTGCTATTCTAGATCTCTTCCGTTTCCAAATGAACTGTAGGATTGTTTTTTCTAGTTCTGTGAGGTACGCTGATAGCATTTCGATCAGGATTGCATTAAATCTGTGTGACAGTTGTGAAACTAGGGCCATTTTCACCATATTTGTTCTTCCTACCCATGAGTAAAAGATGTCTTTCCATTATCTGATGTCCTCTTCAATCTCCATTTTCAGAGTATTATAATTTTCAATATAGAGGTCTTTTACCTTCTTCTTAAATTGATTTCTAGGTATTTCATTTTTGGGGGATACTATTGTGAAAAGTATTGTTTCCTTAATGTTTCTCTCAGTGAGTGTGTTGTTTGTGCACATGAAGGCTTTTGATTTTTGAGTGCTTTGTATCCCACTATGCCACTGAATTTATTTCTTTCTTTCTTTTTTTCTTTTTTTTTTTTTTTTTTTTTTTTTTTTTTTTTTTTTTTTTTTTTCCAGGGATTGAACTCAGGCCCTTGCGCTTGCCAGGGAAACATTTATTCCACTGAGCCATCTCCCCAGCCCCCTATGCCACTGAATTTGCTTATTAAATATAGAAGTTTTTAGTACAATTTTTTGGGGGTCTTCCATGTAAGGTATCACATCATTTGCAAATAATAATTTAGCTTATTCCTTTCCTATCATTATTCCT